CGAGACAATGCTATTGGTGTTTGCCAGAATCTGGATTTTCACATGTAGCCAGGGAGGCCTCAAAAGTACAGCGGAAAGGTTTGAGCATTTCCATCACTTTATGTCTGGCTCAGGACTAGTCTACATCACTGAACTGAAGTTCACTCTCTCCCAGTGATTCTCTCTCTACGGACCGTAGCCCTGTCTCTCATCCTTTGTCTTTCCAAGCAACTCCTTGACTCGCTGGATCAGGACAGGAGTACATCAATCTGCGGGAGCCCGGTGATTCTCTCTCTAGTATCAGGGCCGTATCGGGGCCCTGTCTGTCTCTGGAACCATTTGTCTTTTACCCTGAGATGGGGAACACTGGAGCAGTTGTCTGTCTGTTTGACCTGCCTGATCCACAACTCAGTGGGTGGCTGGGTGCGTCCCAATAATATCTCCTTTCTCCTCAAATGTGCACTCGTTCACTCTTTCCCACAAATCTAAAAGCATTGGATTGGTGGAGGCATGGGCTAGTGGGCATTTACATCATCTTGTTTTACATTTTCTTTGAAGTCAGTGAAGGGGAGTGAACAAGTGCACGCTTTAGGAGGAAGGAGAGATAATTTGGACATAGCCCTTGAGATAGGGAACACTGTAGCTGTTGTCTGTCTGCTTGACCTGGCTGACAGAAGACTCTGTGAGAGTGCGGGGAGAGAAGAGCTGGAGAGAGTGTTAGCGGTTCTCATGCATTCCTCTAGTTCCATACCAAACGCTTGTCCCGATTGCATTTACAGTACATTACTAGTACTGCACACAGGAGAGCTGACAGGGGGTTAGAGTAGAGGAGGAGGAGGAGGAGGAGGACGATTGCAGCATTCATCCTCTTCTCTGGAATTCTCTATCCTTTCCAGTATATCCAAGATTCCCTTCCTTTTTCTAACTTTTGTTGTTTTTATTCGAGCGTCTGATTTATGTGCACATCATCGGACCAATCTGACGAGAGCAAATCTTTACAGTGTGAGCTTAGAGGAAATAAACGCCGGAATTTGACTGCGGTGTGGCGGTAATACAGTCACCGCAACAGACCTAGTTGCGACCCAAATTTGGGTCATGGGAGGTTTTGAATGGGTTTTTTAGAATTTTTGGTCACATTCTTTTTTTATTATGAACAAATACTCCAGTCTGAACTTAAACAACTAAAACCAGGTAGAAAGTGTGTAGAAATGATAATGAACCTACATTTGTTTATAATTTAATCTCTGAACGATGTTTCTTCAATCACAGTAAATAGCAGTGCTATTTAGCAGGTTTGGTTGATTTTGTGGTCTCAAACTTATTAACATTCTTCCTCAAGAATACGGACAACATTTTATTATTGACAATTAAAAGGGTGGGAATGTTGTTCCTGTCACGGATTCTGCCGGATACTAGCTACTGCCGATCTATGTTCTATGTTTCTATGTTCTACCTGTTGTTGTCTGATTGTCACACACCTGTTTCCCCATCATGTCATTACTCCTTCCCTATTTAACCCGGTGGCTCCCAATGTGTTTTGTGCGTGTTTGTTTTTCGTTTCGTGTGTCGTTTGGTGAGCGGGTTTGTTCCTCCCTGTGTGGAGGTATTTTGTATTGATTTCTTTACTTATTCAGTAAAGTACGTTTTCATAGAGTTCTGTGTCCTGCGCCTGACTTCGATCCACCGCATTACACTGACACTCGTGACAGTTCCCTTGTCATATAATTGCTACATTTACTATCAATATAGCATAACATTTTTTTTCTCCAGATTGCATTTTGGCAACCAAAAAAACAGGATGCGAATAATTGGGGTCCCAAGGCAAAACCAGTTGAGAACCACTGATTTAAGGAAGATGGACAAGCTAATCCCAGAGCTATAACTCTAGCATTCTAAATCATATATCTCCCTCTCACTCTCTCCCCCTCTCTTTCTCTTTGTCTGTTTGCCCCTTTCACTTTTTTTCTCTACCCTTCATATATTTTTCTCCTTCCATCTCTCTATCTCTCTCTCTCTCTCTCCCTTTCTCCTATTTCTCTCACCCCAAAAAGAGAGGAACAAAAGATCAACCTGAAAATATAAACATTCAGCTTGTGCTACTGTAACACAGTCCAGGAGTCTTTCCCTCCTTCCTCCCAGGCCTCCCATGCTTTGATAGTCCAGCCAAGATGAGAGGAAGAGAAGAGGAGATGTTGCACTGCATCCACCACACTCTCTCCTGACTGGTGTCCGGCCAGTCCTGATAACAGCTGTTGGTATGCACTAGGAATCCGCTCTGTGTCATGTTTTTCCTTTGAGTCCTATAACTGACTAGCCTGATCCTAGATCTGTTTGTGCTGTCTTGCCAGCTGCTATGGTCATTGTCAAGACAGCACAAACAGATCTGGGATCAGGCTAGTAACTTAACGGGTGGCCAAGGAGGAAGGGGGCTATATGGAAGCAACACAAAGTCCTTCTATCTATCTCAATACATTCCAAACATGCTTGAATGGAAACAAGTCCCCAAACAGCTAGCTATAGTATACACACATCACATACCCACAATTCTTCCTTATTACTTTAACTTATTCTAGCTAATTCAATAAAACCAACTTATCAGACAAAGTCACTCTGTGATTCCAAATTATTGTCCCTCCTAGACCGTCTGTCAGATGTGTGGTATCCAGACTAAAGTATTCAAATACCTCAGTCCAGTACATGAAGCAACCAAAGGACCAGACATTCACCCTCACCCATCCACAGTATCAGGTCCCCAACCACCCCTATACTCCAGTACTTCCAGTCTCCAATCTAAAGTTTAGACAACACTATCTCTGCCAACAACAGCACAGTCCAGGGGTGCCGGACACTGACTACTTACTTAGACCCCTGGCACCCCTAAAGCACAGACTCCAACAACACCAATCGCTAGACCAAGCCTGGTGGCGTTTCAGAGACACACAGAAACACAACACCAACATCAATATCAAATCCTGAGTTTTGTGGCTGATGATGGCCCGTATGTGGGTCTGAAACATATACTGTGGATCGCTGTTGTTTTTATCTTTCAGAAAGTCCATTACAACACATGTTTGTATACAGTAGCACATTTATATATAAAATATATCAGGTTTTTATGCCTTGGCCATTTTGAAGTAATGGTAGAGATTTGTTATGGTCATAGAGATTTGCCTGCCTATCGGCTAGACCAGGGATATTCAAATCTTACTGCAGTACTGATGGTTTTCTGTTCTACCTGATAATTAATTGCACCCACCTGGTGTCCAAGGTCTAAATAAGTCCCTGATTACAGAGAAAGAATGAGTAAAAAGCAGTGGAACTGGCTTCGAGGTGCAGATTTGAATTTGAGAGGGCTAGACAGACCGAGACAGGAAGCAGTGCGGTCTAGCTTAGCGTCACACGCCATCTTCCTCCCTCAGAGCCTAGATGTCTGTCTGCTTACACACACACATGCTCACACATGCTCACACACACATACACACACACACACACAGTCTGCTCTCTGCAATTAATTAAACCACAAAACAACGATTAATAAGCAGACTGCCTTTTGACTCGACATCTGATTGTGATTTGGGATTTGGGAGGCGTTCTCATTGATGACGCTGATGGCCTCTCCTCTCAACATATTTCAGGGGCAGTGTTACATTTTTGTTATTACCTAGCAGCAACAGCACAACTGATTCAACCAATCATCAAGCCCCCTCATTTGTTGAACCAGGTGTGCTGGGCTGGAACAGAAATGTGCACATGGTGCTAATAATGGGCATAAACTGGTCCCTGCAATCTAGGGAGACCCGTAGAGAGAAAACAGCATTGATTGTTACCCATTTACTCCTGTAGAGAAGAGAAGATTGTTAGCTAGTTTCGCTCCAATTAGAAAACGGGATAATCATCTGATTTGCTACTGGCGCCTTCCCTTCCGCCCCTCTTGGTTACGGGTGATCGGTATCCAACGACGCTGATGGTTAATACAGCCTTCAGTCATCGTGCGGCCCGTTGTTTGTTTTTCGTTCTGCAGTCTCCTAACTCTCCAACAATCACAGAGCTTACTAACTGTGTTGTTCACTGAGTAACCTGTTGATTAAATCGTTGGCCCAGACATGTGTTGTTGGGCTGCCTCAGACCAGACTATCTTTCAATAAAGGTGTTCGTAATGTCTGCGAATGTTCTCCTACATCTAATACAGAAGAGATCAGACAAGCTTACAAGGAGAGAATCAAAGAGGTTAGAATGTGTTAAGCTGGAAGCGAGGTACATGTGACGTGTGTGTATGCTCAGCTGAGGATGGGTGCAGAGACACAGAGAGGGAGGGAGAGAGACAGAGAGGGGGGAGCGAGAGAGAGAGAGAGAGACAGAGAGGGGGGCTAGAGAGAGAGAGAGAGAAGAGAGAGAGAGAGAGAGAGAGAGAGAGAGAGAGAGAGGCTATCTAAAAGAGATCGAGAGAGAGAGCTCTCTCCCGCTCCTCTACGCCTCTCTCTCCTTCCTCTCTCGCTCTCTCTCGCCGCCCCCCCCTCCCACCCTCCCTCCCTCCCACTCCCTCCTCGCCTACCCCCCCCCACTCCCTCCCCTCCCTCCCATCCCCCCCCGCCCTCTCCCTCCCTCCCTCCATCTCCCCCCCTCCTCTCCCTCTCCCACAAGCAAAGAGAACAGACCCTCTGCCAGGCCTCTCTACACACTGATACTTGGCCTCCTTAGTGGATGAATGACACTGAATTACTTGACTTTCACTCACTGTGAGCTCACAGGCATCTTGGGGCCAAGTGGTCTGTTGTCAGAGGTGAAATAGGCAGATAGCCCAGGGTGAAACACTCTGACATCACATAATAAGCATCACCATCCTGTCTCAAACCAGCATGATGATGTCACTCTCCAAAGTACAGGGTGATGTACATACTGACAAAGGTTCTTGAAACCACTGCACTCAGAACGTGTGGTGCATGGACTCAAATGATGCCATTAGATGCAGTGTAGAAGACTCAGATAAGAGTTTCAAATGTATTTTATGTTTACTTATTCATTCAAGAGGCAACAAGAATAGAGTCAACATGGCTGTCCTTACTGGGTCCATTCCCTTGTGTCTGTGTCCTCCTACCTGTGCACTCGTACTGCAGCCCCTTGCCGTAGTGGCCCTTCTCACAAATACAGTCGTACTGGCCCGTGTGGGTGCCACACTTGCAGCTGGCCATGATGTCACAGCAGTCCGCCCCGGCATCGCACAGGGACGAGCAGTGGGATAGATCTTCCTGGATGTAGCTTCCTGTCGGCAGGTCTGAGGGGATACAAAGGTCATAAACACAAAGGTCAAAGGTCACCAGAGGATGTTAGCAACGTTTTTCTTTCATAAACCTTTTATCTTTTCCTTTTTAATTTTTAATTTTACGAACTTGCAGTTCCGTTCCCCTTACACATCTTATAGTTTTTATGATAGAACAGATGAAGGAACAGTTTGGGAGTCAGAGAGGGACAAAAAGGATGTTAGGGGCACAGACAGATGGCTGAGCCGGGGCTCGAACCCCTGTCAAGGTGGCGTGTGAGGTCTTTTCTAGACAATTTGTGATATTAGAAGGTAACCGGTGAATTAAATCAAAGGGCCACTGGTTTGGTCAACACACTGGTGGGAGAAAACTGTTTTCTGAGTCATTTTACTGAAAACGATGGAGTCAATTCCAATCCTGATAACAGAGTAGATTGCTGTAAATTGGCATACTACTGTATAAACATCTGTCTTGAGTAATAGTAAAAATGTCATGTAGGCTACGCTAAGCTAGGGCTGGATGCACTTATCTGCCTTCTCATAAATAATAAAAAAAGAAGCAGGATTGGCCGAGTGATTGTTCTTCCTGAGAAGTAGGAACCAAACAAAGAACATTGTGGGCCAGATATTTTTCACACATGGCTGAGGATGGTGTTCGGTCCAGGGGTTGGGGTCGGCAGGGGTAGAGACCTGGGTTCAAATGTTTTAGCTACACTTAATTGATCTTGCCTGGTGGAATGAAATCAATGGTATAGGGCTGGAGCGGAAGCTATGGCTGAAACCGGGGCTGAAGCTATGGCTGAAACGGGGACTGGGACTGGGACTGGGGCTGAAGCTATGGCTGAAACTGGGACTGGGGCTGAAGATAGGGCTGAAACTGGGGCTGGGGCTGAATATATGGCTGAAACTGGGACTGGGGGCTGAAGCTATGGCTGAAGCTGGGGCTATAGGGCTAAGGAGCTGGTGTTCAGATTGGAGTTTGCAGAGCCAGGGAGCAGACTTAGAGAGGGAGAGTCAGTAAAACAGAGACACACGGCAGAGAGCCCTGATAACATGCACTGGCTGCCGTGGCTCACACTCTGACAACCTTATCCCTCTTTCTGTCTGACAGAACTGATTTACCACTGTCTAGTTTCTAATATAGGCTGCGTCCCAAATGGCATAATATGCACAGTTCGGTGCTTGCATGTTGTTGTTTTATGGTCCGATGCAACTGATGTCTGAGAAACGATGACTCCGGTACTATTTCTGGGTTCTGCTCCCTCACATGGACTGTGGGAATGGAGAAGGTACTTTACCTCCTTTTTTATGATGTTATATGTTGGCTAGACACAGGGGACATACAGGGCAAACTGTGTTCATGATGTGGATGGAATTCCACAGAAATTCTTCACTTTTTAAAAATACGTTCCCAGTGGGCGCAGACGTCAGTTCAACATCTAGTTTTTATTTACATTTGGTTGAGTGATCAGGTTAAAAGTTTGGTCGAATTTCCCTTAAATTGGATGACTTTTTGCAAATCCCAATTAGTTTTCCACCTTGACTCAATGTCATCATATTGAATTTTTTTGTTTGAAATGACGTGGAAACAACGTTGATTCAACCAGTTTTGGGCCGGTGGGTTAGTCACATGGCGCTGCTGTAACCTTAGTTGAGAAAAATATATCCCACTCAATATTTTCTTCCCACAAATCTCTCATTGACTCATTCTCTAACCTGGGTACCAGTCTGTTGTGCCATCATTCCATGTTTGGCATGACAAGGAATGACAAGGAGTGAAAAGATAGCACTAACAGACCGGTACCCAGGCTATTCAAGTGCCCCTTCCGCCTCACCTTCGTGCAGCGCGCGGCGAGCCAGGGCCTCGAACTCTGCGAAGTTGTGTACCAGGTAGCAGTGCTGGTCCTTAGGGTGTGAGGCCATGTCATGTAACTCTCTAATGTTCCCCTGCCAGATCCCCAGGGTGTAGATCTCCACCCCCTGCTCCCTCAGAGCAGCTGCCACCGGGCGAGGGTCGCCCCCGTTGGAGTAGCCATCCGTTATCAGGAAGATCACCTTGGTGGCATTGGCCCGCGAGTGACGCAGGATTTGCTGTGGGAGAATGAGAGTTTTTGAAGAATGAATACAGGTGTGAATGGATGGTGGATGTTGTTGGATCGTCATCAGGTACGGCACAGAGTGAAGTGAATACAGTAACTCCATGTCTATAGCAAATGCATTCAGCCTTTACAGCAGCAGCCAGCTAACCACTAGAACACTAGAACAACCCTGTTATAGCAGAGTGGAGCTGCCTCAGACACACACATGGGTTCAAACACCATTCGAAATCATTTCAAGTACTTTATCTGTGTTTGACGGAGCTTGCCTGGCGAAATGGGGCCAGCATCGTCCGGGTTAGGGGAGGGTTTGGCCGGTGTAGGCCGTCGTTGTAAATAAGAATTTGTTCTTAACTGACTTGCCTAGTTAAATAAAGGTTTAAAATATATATATATATATATATAAATAGAATAGTCCTAAAAGTGTAAACGCCGCCCATCTGGCTTTTCTAGGCAGGTTAAAGCAAACAAAGTATTTGAATGACTTCGAATAGTATTTGAACCCAGGACAGGACTGCCTCAGACAGGGTCTGGTTCGCAGCACTAAGTTTAGCTGGAGTTTACAACCAATCCCTGTACAATTAGACAGGACATTAAAGACACAGAGAAACATTATTTCCACTGCCCAGAAGAGAAATCCTGGAGAGAGAAAGAGAGTGAGAGACATCTGCTCTGCTAGTCTGTGTTGCTCTACTGTAATGAACACAGACCTGCTACAGTTGGTATGTTTGTTCGGAATGAAATTAATTGAAATGTTATGGATGCGAGGAAAAGGGGAAAATAAGGACTATAAAGAAGATGAGGAAGTGAAAACAAGATGGCGTGAGTGTGAGACATTAATGGAGAGCAGGGGCGGCCTGTTCAATAGGGCGATATGGGCGACGCACTGCCAAACGGGAAAAGGAAGGGATTTTTTTTCTAATCAATTATATCACGGCAACAGTAGTTATCAGTGTTGTAATCTATACGTCTGATCTGCCACAGTGCCACACTGCCACTAAATGTCGAATCAGGCTAAAGTCGTGCTTCAAATGGCTCCCCCCCCTTTTGGGGCGATTTCAGTCAGGTTGAAAATCGCCCAGAAGTCTCTCATAGCCTCTAATGTAAAATCTATTTTTTTCAAATTTCAGAGCCTTCAATACAATCTCTATGGGTGTCTGAGGGCTTGCACTTACGCGCTTTCGTCATACGTAACGTAACGTAACCATGAACGTAACTGAGAAAAGAGCGGATTGTGTCTTTGAAAGAAGTTCCTTTTTGTCGGCGAACAAATGAAGATAAATTGGCAACGAAACAATTAGGACCTCCCAGACCAAATTTAATAATTCAACAGGTTTCTACTAAAGGCGGAAAGTCCTACACAACCCGAGGATTTTCCAAAAATTGGTACGAACGGAAAAATAACATTGCCACTCAACTTGATGAGGGATACAGGCTAGCTGTCCGCCGCCACAAACGATGAGGTTAGTGTTGATAATCACAAGTTTACTGGAGAACTGAGACCAAGTAGAGACTTTGGACAGGGTGGATATGGTATAATAAAGGCAGTTTATTCAGAGGTAAAGATATCTGGAATCGCGTGCACGGACCCGTTCGTCAAACTCTTAGGGAGCTATAAATTAAGCCCCATTACTTACCATATCAGATAAGAGAAATTGCTGCAGCTACATATATTTTACATCCTGGCCCTACATAGTTCACTATTTGCATCACTTAACAAAATATTACATGTGGTCATATATGCTTGGAAAGTGGAGATGCCATAGAACGTCAAAAAAGTAAACATTGCTGGAGACACATTGCCGTTTTGGAGAAGACATCGCGTTTGCTAGCGAAGAGATTTGTTGTGGCAAATGAACTTGGGCTGGGAATTGCCAGGAACCTCACGATAAGATATATGCATCAGCATTGCGAGTCTCATGATTCTATACGTATTGCGATTCGATACTGTGATTTTATTGCGCACCATATGTCTGTTGCAGAGGGATCAGAAAGCCATGAGAACGAGTTTTGATCAGTCATGGAAATAAAGTGCTGAAAACAAATTGGCTCCCAATGTGAAAGATTGAGAACAAGCTATGAAGGAACAATAATGGTGTTTTGGTGCAGGTACAGCCAACTAGCGCTAAAATATTGCGATATTGTCAATACAGTATATCGTAAAGTATCACTATGTAACTCGATTTCTTTCACCCCAATCCCTCAAATTAACGGTAAATAACTGAATTGTTTGCCCCACATTTAGCTAAGATGATTAGCTAGCCAGCTAAAATGTTTTATTTAGTTAGCAGTCGCATCTACAATAGTTTACTGTCAATAACATGTCTCCAAAAATGACGTGGTGTCTCCAATTGTGTTGACATTTTACAATTGCGATGCGCATCCATGAGTATCCACTTTCTGTAGCTCAGCTGGTAGAGCATGGCGCTTGTAACGCCAAGGTAGTGGGTTCGATCCCCGGGACCACCCATACACAAAAATGTATGCACGCATGACTGTAAGTCGCTTTGGATAAAAGCGTCTGCTAAATGGCATATTATTATTATTATTATCTGAAGAGAGCCCCGAAACATTGTGTGCAGACATTTTATGCAATAAATGAAGTAGGTTGAATCTAGTAGTTCTGATCTTCTGATTGGTCCTGATGAGTTGGGCGAGGTCCCCTCCAGGCTACTGTCACTGTTGCATTGGCTCTGAGTCGGGTTCTCTGTCTTCAAATGTTCAGCCTAAGAGAGGGGATTTTTGTGTGTGTGTGTGTATGTGTGTGTGTGTGTTTAACAGTGATGATGTGTGTGTGTGTGTGTGTGTGTGTGTGTGTGTGTGTGTGTTTGTGTGTGTGTGTGTGTGTCCTCAGAGCAAGAACTCGTGAGTTGGAAGAACTGAGAGGCCTATGGCGTGGGTGTTGTCCTTGGCCACCTGCTGACAAGGCTGACAAGATAGGACCCTTTTGTCCATTGTTATTGGATAGGAACAGAACTTATAACCAGCTCCTGACCTAAATAGATCTTAGCACAACATTTTACTCAACATATCATATTCCATATTCACTATAACAAATATATTTACTACGACATTAGCAAGAACCGCCACATCCTCAGCCGGCTAATCCAGTGTGTGAAGTTTTGCGGAGTGTTGGAGTTAGCTTTGCGAGGCAAAGATGAAACTGAGGGCTCCACCAACCCTGGTAAGCCAACACTTTTGAGATCAGTCAATAAATGCTTCTGGTATTGACTTATATGCTGCCCCTGTCTTCATGTTGTTGCTGGACATATCTTTTTTAAAATGTGTGTAGGTCACCTAAATCATCAGAAAAATTGCCCCCCCTGAGAATTTTTTCAGGAGCCGCCACTGATGGAGAGATGTTGGGCATAAAGGGTAGTTCAATACAATAATTAATATAAAGGGTATTAAAGTGGGGGGGAGGGGAGGAGGAGTGGGGGCGGAGAGGGGAGTGGGGGGGGTGACGGGGGAAAAAAAGGGAAGAGTGGGGGAGAAAAAGGGAAAGGTGGAAAGGGGAGAGAAGGAGGATGGGGGGATGCCCAAGGAGCGAAAAGGGAAAAAGGGAGAAAAGGGGGGAAAGAGGGGGAAATAGAGGGAGAGAGAAGAGGAGAAGAAGGAGAGAAGAGGGGGAAGGAGGGAAGAGAGAAAAGGGGAGAGGAGGGGAAGAGAGATTGAAAAAGGGGGAAAGAGGGAAACCTTTTTTTTGTTGTTTTTTCTCTCCTCTTGGTGGCCCCCTTTTTCCCTTTTTTTTCCCCCGCTTCTCCCCTTCTCTCTTCCCGGCTCCCTTCCCCTCCTTCTTCCCCCCTTCTCCCTCCGTCCCCCCCCCCCTCTCTTCCCCCTTCCCCCCCCCTCTTTTTCCTCCTTCCTCCCCCCCCTCCTCCCCCCCCCCCCCCCCTCCTTCCTCGCTCACTCTCTCTATCTCTTTCTCTCTCTCTCTCGTCTCTCTATCTCTCCTCTCTCTTCCGCTTGTCTCTCTGCTCTCTCTCTCTCCCTCTCTCTCTCTCTATCTCTTCTCTCTCTCGTCTCTTCCGAGCTATCTGCCCTCCCTCAATGAATATAAATCTTGATCTCTTTTCTTTTTTTCTAATTTTGTGCTACCACTCACAAGCATCTCCGGCTGGTTAACGTAATTACAGAGGCTGTGAAGCGAGGGAAGGGAGGGTGGAGGGAGGGAGGGAGGGAGAGGGATGGAGAGATGGAGGAGAGAGAAGGGGAGGGAGGAAAAGCCTTGCTTCTCTGATCCTCTCTTCAAAGTCACCAGAGAGGCACCCTTGTTGTCATCCCAGCCTTCCAGGCCTCTCTGCCGCCCGCTCCCAGCTGTCAGTGCACCCAGGCAGGCTGATTCGTTATGGTGAGGGGCCTCCCTGGTTCTCCCTCCCTGGTTCTCCCCTAGACCTAACCCGTCTGCTGTCACCAAACCACAGTGATGTCATTGTGGCCTGCCCCCTGGAAGAGGTGACTGAGAGAGAAGTGTGTGTTTTGGGGTGTTTTAGGATATTTTATGGGGTTGCTCAAAGAGCTGTGGGGTCGCAAGGGTTTGTGTTGGGGTGTGACAACGGCTGGTGGCTGGTGGTGAGCAGGGGGGTGCCACAGATGAGTGTGTGTATGTATAAACCATATATATAGCTACACACACGCTGCTACACACACACGCTACGCACACACCCACACACACCTGTTCTTCTATCACACGCTGCTACACACACACGCTACGCACACACCCACACACACCTGTTCTTCTATCATGCAGGTTAGAGTTTTTCCTCATGAATCTTGTACTGGAGGCAGCTCTGCAGAGTGGTCACTAGCTCGCACAGCCACAAAGTCATAAAATCTGACCTTAACCTTAACATTAACCTTAAATTGTTTTCATAAATATTTACAATATAGCCAATTTTGACTTTTCAGCTAGCCTACTTAGGGGAAATCGCTCAGTTCTGCCTGCAGGACAAGACTCATGACAATAAACATCAACCTGCATATAAAACAGTTGTGGGCCTCACTAATTGTAGGATTTGGCAGCTAGCAAGCGAAACACTCCTTTTGGCATGATGCCTTGGTGTGTGTGTGTGTGTGTGTATGTGTGTGTGTGTGTGTGTGTGTGTG